AAAGAAAATGAATTAGATTATTTAGAATTTATTAATTAATTGAGCATATTTTGCTATTAGAAAAATATCTTAGCTTTTTCTAATTTATTCGCTGAAAATTTGCTAAATTAATATTTATAAAATTTTCTCGTATTTTTTCTGATGAAATTTAATTCAACACATACGACATAATTTTTAATTGGTAATTCGGAAGATGGTGGAGTCCATTTGATTCGTTGTTTCCAGAAATTATGTTCATCAATTTCTGAGTTATCCAATGTTAAATGAAGTGGTTGTCCAGGTGCTCGAGGTTCTAAGCTTGATAAATTTCAATTCGCATTAAATAAAATCAATAAGTTTAGAGATTAAAAACCTTTTGCAAATCTTTTGAAAATCTGAATAGTTGACTGCTTCTTGTGAATTAACAAACTAAGTTAGTTTAAGACTGTAAATTTCTTTCATACCTTTTGAAAGTTTGAATGGTTGACTGCTTTTCGAGAATCCTAAACTACCATATGTATTGACAGCTGCTACACGAAACATATAATATCGACCTGGTGCAAGTAAATGCTTCAAAATTGCATACATTTTATTTCTCTGAAATTATTTCAACCATTTATAAACACGTATGTTTTTTCACTTTCAGATTTTTCAAATTTAATGATAAAAAATTACAAAGAAAGATCAAAACATTTCAATAGATGTCTTGCAATTTTAATAATATTTCATACATTATTTTTTGATTCATTTCATTATTGGTATTTCTCTTTTGGTGCCATTTAATAGTCATTGTTATTTGAGGGGAATTTTGGTACCATTTGAATACATTAATGATAATCATTGTTATTTGAAAAAAAAGGAAGTAAAATTTTTGAACAAACCGTAACAATCGTTTGCCAGTCACTCATTGAAGTACCATCTTTGTGTAAACTCCATCTCCACTGTACCACATACAAGTTAGCATTTGAATTTGTCTGAGCACGACTCATCTGTTGCATGACCCATCGAACAATCACTGACCTATTAAGAAAGGCTGTGTTACACTCATTTACTTACTTACTAACACTTTTATTTTGCATTTAAAACTAAATTACACTTATTTTTTTTATTAATTTTATTTGCTTATTAATTTATTTGATCCTATATTACATTTATGTTCTTTTCCATTTATTTTCCCATTTATTTATCAACTTATTTAATTCAAATTTCGATGATTAATTATCTGAACAAATCTTCCATAATTAATTTTAGATATTTTATATCAAAATTTCTTTTATACATTTTTTATTTGTTTATCGAATTGATTTCATATTATTTTGATAGCATATTCCAATCTATACCAAACCTTTTTCGTTTTCGTTCCTGAACACTAATACTGGTTGGAATAGGCAAAAGATTCAAATTTTTCCCTTCCGGTTTCAAACATTGCCTACTGCAACCTTCAACGCAACATTTCTTCGTTTCAGGACAGTCGCCATCCAAGTGACACATTGCAGTGCATTCCTGAAATTACTTATTCGCCGGATAATTTTACTTGATAAACATTCAGTGTCGTTTTGTTTTCTTCTTCTTTTTTCTTAGCTCAGTTTTCTGGATTGCTAAATTTGCATAATTGATAATTTACATTGGAAAAAAAGGCTACAATTTAAATTGGACATACATTGAAGGGGGCCAAATGTGAGGTATTAGGGCACGTTCCAGGCTTATTTCTGTATATTTCATGTAAATAAATACAAGAACGTTTGCAAACTTCTGGTTCTCTCACATCCTGTAAAATATTTAACATTTTAATTATAAATCTTTAAAATAGTCTACATTATTTTGGTATAAGTTTCAAAATAAAAATATTTTTTTGAAAAATTAAAAATTTTGACATAAAATGGAATTTTTAAAAGTTGAAATAAATCTTTTTCCCTACAAACAATTAAGTTAAATCCATTAACTTAAACAATATCTATAAATAATTTTTAAATTTCGCAAAAGTTAAATATTTAAGTGTACTAGTGAAATTTTTAATTAGCAGCCTTACTCTGCAAATATTTCCCCGACATCCTTCCACATTCAATGTATTTTCCTGACATGCTGCAGTACACTGAAAATAAAAGAAAATCGATCATTAATTCCATGCATTTTAAAATTTCGAATTTATTTTAAATTAAAAATATTGTTGTAAAAATATTAGAACGAATTTATATTAAGTTTCTACTTCTCTAAAAATATTCTTTTGCAAAAAAAAAGATGAAAAATATTAATGAAAAAAAGAGAAATTAGATTTGCTCCATTAATAAATAATTTTTCATCATCCTTTCCTTTTTTTATTTTAATTCATTCTTTCAGTCAATCAATCACTGTTACAAATTTTCTTATGCATCAATATTTTTTGGATTAATTTCAAACTGAAAATGTCATATGGAATTAGTTGCTCTTTTAAATTCTCAATTTCTTTTACTTTTTTTTTGAAAAATCTTTTCTGCTAATAAAACAGTGCAATGATTAATTGTCTGAAAACCAATAGAAGTAATAGTAATTGGACTGATAATAGTGAATTTAAAATAATTGAGGAATGGATGTATGTGTCTATGTGTGTGTGTGTGTGTGTGTGTGTGTG